GAGCTGACCTTGTCTGTGAAGACAGAGGCAAAGAAAGCATTGAGTACTTCAGCTTTTCCCACATCATCTGTCACTAGGTTACCTCCCTCATCCAGTAAGGGCCCCACACCTTCTCTGATCACCCTCTTATTGCACCATTAAATCCCCATGCTCCTCCCACTCCGCGCCAGATAAGGGCCCCACATCCTCCCTGATCACCCGCTTATTGCACCATTCAGTCCCCATGCTCTTCCCACCCCCGCCAGATACTTCAGGGAAAGAATGTCCAAAGCGGCCTTCCATCTGAGAAAAACAAAATATCCCAAGCGGCCTTCCATCCGAGAAAAACCAAATATCGAACATTTTGCATGTCCGGTATTTTCTGTTTTTTTTTACCGGGCAGAAGCTGCAAATACTGGACTATCCAGGCCAATACCAGACACTTGGTAACCCTCGTGAGTTGTCTAGTCTCTCGTGAGTTGTTCCATCCCCCTGGCTCAACCCCAGGAGCAGACAGAACTGGAGTGGGCGCCGGCAGGATAAGGGGCACCCTGAACATGGGGTATTGGGCTGGGTTCTGGAGTAGCTTAGCAACCAGGGCCTTTGTCTGGGGAGTGCCGGGCTGTGGGTTATAGTTCTCCAACCCCAAGAGCTGATGGATAGAACAGGAGCCAGCCCTGGCAGGGAGAAAGCAGGATAAGGGGTACACTGAAAGTAGGGGAGTGGGGTAGATCCTGGTATGCTTTAGCAGATAGGGCATTTGTCTGAGGAGCATAGGGTGACGGGTTCTAGTGCTGTTCTCCCCAACCCTGGGAGGAGACAGACTGAACAGAAAAGCTCTTTTGGGGCTCATTAGCATGTGAAATCAATGCTATTGCTGTACTCCTGTCAGAGCTCCTTTCGGCACGCATACCTTATCCGTATATGCCTGTGTGAGTGAAGGAAGGGTTGGCCACAGTACGGATTTGGTGATGGGGCAATTTATGTCCCAGCTCAGGAACAACTGAGCTGTATGAGAGGCTCAAAGAAAGGGGCTTGGGGTCACCCAGACTGTGCACTGCAGTGACAACCTGCCAGGAGACTGTGGGTCACTGTGGCAGCTACGTCCTGCTGTGCCCCATTGAAAGCCATTGTAAGACTGCAGTGGGAGCACGCTCAGGCCTTTAATTTGCCAATATCTGTTCAACAAGGGAGCTGCCCCCGTGAATCACTGAGCACCTTTGGCTCCAGGGAAAATCAAGGGGAGCTGCGGGTGCTCAGAATATCTCCGGGCTCAGCCCTGGCAGTGTTAATCAAAAACAAACACACGCAGCCAGCCACAATATTTTGCTCACGCTTGTATCTTCTTTGATAGCTGGGCAGCTGAAACCACCAGCAAGAAAACAGTGCAGCCGCTCAGGGCTGTGTTTGCACTCCTGGGACAGCAGCAGGGCAGCTGTAGAGGGAGTTGCGTGTTCTCCCCCCCTCCCACTCTAAGTAGTTCAGGATGTGGATAAACTGGAGAGGGACCCCCAAGAATCAGCCCCACAAAGTCTGGGCGAGTTCAGACTGTAAAATGAGGGTCTGGCTCTTGCATCCCTTACAGGTCTGGATTGTCACACCGGACTCCTAAGGGCATGTCTACACTAGGGAATTATTTCGAAATAACTTATTTTGAAATAATAACTCCCGAAATAACTATTTTGAACTAGCATGTCCACACTACAGGGGAGCCTCGAAATCAGTTCGAGGCAGGCTTCTTTAGTACGTCTACACTGTAAGCTTATGTTGGAAAAAGCTGTCCTCTGGAATAGTTTATTTCGAAATAGCGTGTCCACACTACAGGGAAGCCTCGAAATCAGTTCGAGGCAGGCTTCTTTAGTACGTCTACACTGCAAGCTTATGTCGGAAAAAGCTTTTCCGGAAGATATCCTCTGGAATGGTTTATTTCGAAATAGCGTGTCCACACTACAGGGAAGCCTCAAAATTAGTCCAAGACAGGCTCCCCTAATGTGGATGCGCTATTGCGATTTAGAGCCCTAGGAATCCCTGGGAGGAATAACTTTAGAATAGCCCTGGTGAGGAGCTATTTTGACATAGCAGTAGTACAGCGCCCACCCCGCCCCCCTCCCGAAAGGGTTTTTCTGGAAGAGGCGTTATTCCTCATGGAATGCGGTTTACCAACGTCGGAAAAAGCCCTCTGTTATTTCGATTTTCTTTTGAAATACACAATCGGTGTGTGGACACAGTTGTTTTTCCAGAATAACAGCTGTCAATGTCAGCCAGAATAACAGATGCACCCTTAACGTGGACGCGCTACCTTGACTTAGAGCCCCAGGAAGCACTGGGGAGTAATTACTTTGAATGACTCTGGGGAGAAGTTATTGGCAATAGCAGCAGTGGAGTTCCCACATGACCGCTATTTCGAAAGAAGAGTTCTTTGAATGACTCTGGGGAGAAGTTATTGGCAATAGCAGCAGTGGAGCTCCCACATGACCGCTGTTTCGAAAGAAGCGTTTTCCTCATGGAAAGCAGGAGTTATGATTTCAAAACAACCAGCCCCTTATTGTGAAATAACAGGCTTGGTAGTGTGGACGCTCCGCTTGTTATTTTGAAATAACTCCCTCGCGTAGACCAGGGCTAAAAGACAAGGGAGTGTCAAACGGCCCCTCTTGTGGCTGGGAAGTCTGGACTGATGTTAGGGAGATCTGGGGTCTTATTCTGCCCCGCCTTGTCCCCCTACGTTGTCATTTCCCTCCGTGCACAGTGCGTGGGAAAAGATGCCCCATCAGAACAGCCACATCGCACGGCTAGTGTGCACAAGTGGAAAAGTTTCCATAGGAGACAAGACGGGGGCTGTACACAGTGGTTCAGACCCATCATTAGCAGGTCTGCATGAAATACGACGATGTGACACCCCCTCGCCACGCACACTGAAGTGAATACATCCAAAAAACCTAAAGGCACATCTACACCCCAGGGCAAAAGTCAACACATAGATCCCTGATTCTGTGCTAGCTCATAGATACTCCCTCCCGTATCTTCCTCTCTTAGGCTATGTCTCCACCGCAGCGTTATTTTGGAATAACTGGCATTATTCTGAAATAACAAAGAGCGCGTCTACACTGCGAGCCATTATTTCGAAATAACGGCGAGCTGGAGGACTTCTTACTCCGACTTCTGTAACCCTCGTTTCACGAGGGCTGTGTCTAGACTGGCAAGTTTTTCCGCAAAATCATCTGCTTTTGTGGAAAAACTTGCCAGCTGTCTACACTGGCCGCTTGAATTTCCGGAAAAGCACTGACGATCTTACATGAGAGCGTCAGTGCTTTTCCAGAAATTCAAGCGGCCAGTGTAGACAGCTGGCAAGTTTTTCCACAAAAGCAGATGATTTTGCGGAAAAACTTGCCAGTCTAGACACAGCCCTCGTGAAACGAGGGTTACAGAAGTCGGAGTAAGAAGTCCTCCAGCTCGCCGTTATTTCGAAATAATGGCTCGCAGTGTAGACGCGCTCTTTGTTATTTCAGAATAATGCCAGTTATTCCAAAATAACGCTGCGGTGGAGACATAGCCTAAGAGAGGAAGATACGGGAGGGAGTATCTATGAGCTAGCACAGAATCAGGGATCTACAGCAGCGTGGTGAGGCAGGGACACTAACCCGGACTTAACCCAGTACCATCCTTGATGAGAGAAATGAAAGAATGCAAATACGAGAAACACACTATACATTGCACCCTGGCTGGGGGATTCCTGGCTGCTGTCGCCGTAGGAGCCATGGGCAGGGAGTGCTGCTGGTACCAAATTCACAGGGAAGCTCAGATCCGGGCAGAGCCCAGATTCCTTCATGCTGCTTGTATCCATGCGGAGAACTCACCACGCCAGCCAGGGCTGGCTTGCCAGAGAGTGGCAGCTGGAGGTGCGGGGCAAACGAGGGAAACCCACTGAAAGAGGGCAAGGTTCTTGCCCTTCAGTGCTGCCCCTGGGGTGGAGGAGGGTAGATCAGGACATGCTAAGTTGGCAGCAGACCTCCAACGGCTGCTTGCACCAAATTCCAGCCGGGTGTAAGCTAATGAAAGTCAATCAGAAAGCTCCCAGGCCCACCTCCAGGGAGCCTTGCTCGCTCTGCATGATGACGAGGGAAAAGCTGCTGGGCATGAAGGCTGGAACTCCATGGTCTCTCGAAATTTTCTGTCTAGCAACATTAATTAGTGGCTAAAGAACTGCCTATTCTTTTCCTTTTCCTGTATGCCAGGCTGGGGTGGGCAGGCTGTTCCCTGGGACTCTCTACTGGCATTGAGGACAGCTTGAGTTCTCAGTAGGAGACTACATTGGTGCATCCCAGCGGTTCCAGCTGTGCCCTCTACACATGCACCGAGCGTTTCATTAAAGCCAGTCCCAGCTCCTCGTTATCCAGGGCGTGTGTATTTCACACATGCCCATAGACAGACATGCGTGCACACACGCTCAGCCATGCGCACCGGCAGATGCGCGCACGCAGGCGCAGAAGAGTCCTGAAGGCTAAACCATGTTGGTTTCACATGGTCCTGATGTAGCCTTCGGAGACCACGCCCCGCTCATGGGGCGCGGGCAGGGGGTGGCACTCCCTACTGCTGCTCATGTTCCCGTCTGGCTCGCAAGACAGGCTGGCGTCAGCTCACAGACCCAGCGGGTATTTTTACAAAGGGGTTGGGTGGATTTTTTTTTAATTAAAAAAAAAAAAGAAGTCCAAAAAAACCCAGCTCCGAGGACACTGGAGAGCGACTGCGAGAGACAACTGGCAGCTGCTCGGAGGGGTTTTTCTGCAGCAGGTTGGAATGGTCGCTGGGGAGTGGAGGCCAATTAAAATCCGCCTCCCGCAACGGGGCTGGACTTAGAAGGAAAAACCGGTTTGTTACACAGCCAGGCAACAAAGAGCCCTGGCCCCGCCCTGCACATAGCATAAACTCAGTGACCTTGAACCTCTTTGGCTTTTCTGCTGCTTCAGAGCCGAGTGAGTCAGACACCCGATCCCAGCGCTCTGCGGCCTGCAGTTAGCAGTCTTGTTTAGGGTTTTCTAGGGAGCTGCTCAGCTTCTTTAGTGTCTTTTTAATCCTCAGGGCTGTGAGGCGAGTGGAGGGGTTGTGGTACCAGCATTCCTTCATGATCTTAGCCAGGGCGGTCAAAATCTGGTGGGGCCAGGAAAGAGAGAGAGAGAGAGAGAATTACTATCAAATGGTTCAGGGCCAGATTCGTCACAGGCGTAAATCAGCAGTGTTCCATTGACTTCTGTGGAGCTATGCCCAGCGATGCTTGCAATGGCTCTGGTCCCCGATATCAACCGGTGACCCCTCCCCCCCAGGAGAATGCAGAACCCCCCAGCTGCTTTGTCTCCCTCTCTTGGCAGGTTCCGTGAAGAAGAATGACAAGCAATAACGGCTGACCAAAGGAAGGCGGACACGGTGGGTGAGGTCAAAGCATTTCCTGGAAGCCACTCCTGCAAAAACTGTAATATTTGGACAGCTTCTCTGGCCCTCCATTTTCCCATGTGTGAAGTGGGGATGATAAGATGTAGAACACACTTTAGGCCTCTCACAAAAGGCCCCTTTATTGGCAAACACTGATGCACAGGCTGAATGCTAATGCCACGAGTTAGACCCGTGACTGTTTGCAGTAAAAAAGTTAAGACCACACATACGTGTTTACACGATCCCCCTCGGCAATTCCTCATGAATTAGCTGAAGGCCATTTATTGAAAAATTGTAAGTCATAGAATCACAGAACACTAGAACTTGGCAGAAACCTCGAGAGGTCATCAAATTCAGTGCCCTGCCCTCGCGGCAGGACCAGGCACTAGCTAGATGATCCCTAGGGTTGCCAGCTGTTCGGTATTGGCCCGGACAGTCCACTATTTGCGGCCTCTGTCCAGTAAACCCCCCCCCAGAAAATACCGGAAATGTAAAATGTTTCTCTCGGACGGAAGGCCGCTTGGGACATTCCTGGATTTTTTTTTTTTTTTTTTGCTCAACCAATTTTTTCCCCTGCTATGTTCAATATTTTTGTGAAAGTATCTGGCAACCCTATGACCCTGACAGGTGTCTGTCTAACCTGCTCTTAAAAATCTCCAGTAATTGAGATTCCACCACCTCCCTGGCAATTTATTCCAGTGCTTGTCTAGGGAAGTCGTGCAATCTCCGTTTTCACATGCACGCACATACACACAGAATTTCAGGCAGAGGTTCTCCAGCATGTCCATGGCATGACCAGTTTTCCTAGAGACCCCCCCCACTTCCCAGCTGCAGCAACATTGCTTGGATCCATGGAAGCCAGGGAGCACAGGGACAGCTTTCGAGAGGAAGATGGAAATAAACAGGCTGCTGTGTAGAGGGTGGGGCTGATCCAATGAGACTGAGGAAAATAGCACGGAACACACACTCTGGCAAGTCCAGTGTAATTAGACAGGCCAAAAAAGAGTGAATGATACAAAAGCTAACAGAACAGCCATTATTTTGAAGTACATCAGGAGCAGGAAGTCTGCCGAACAATCAATGGGGCCACCGATCGAGGTGCTAAAGGAGCACTCAGGACAAGGCCAGTGCAAAGGAACGCAATGAATTATTTGCATCCGTCTTCACTGCAGAGGCTGGGTGGGAAATTCCCACCCCTGGGCCATTCTTTTTAGGTGGCAGATCTGAGGAATTGTCCCAGATTGAGGTGTCAATAAAGGAGATTTTAGACCAAACTGATTTTTTAAACAGTAATAAGTCACCAGGACTAGATGGGATTCACCCCAGAGTTCTGAGAGAACTCCAATATGAAATTGCAGAGCTACTAACGGTGGGGTGCAACCTAATGCTTAAATCCGCCTCTATAGCATCGACTGGAAGATACTGCAATGCTGATTTTTCATAAAAGGTTCCAGAGGCAACCCTGGCAATAACAGACTCCTAAGCCTAACTTCAGGAGCAGGCAAATTGGTTGAAACTATAGTAAAGCGGTGGTTTCCAACCTCTTGGCCCGTGGCCTGCGGCCCGCAGCCCCCTGCTGGCTCCAGACCTCTGGCTGCTGGGCCGCTGCGGCTTTGGGGACTGGGGTACACCTCTCTCGCTGCAGCTGTTGGGAGAGGCATATCCTACTCTGCCTCTCAGCCAACCAGTGCCGGGCAGGAGTGGTGTCTCCTCCTGGCTGTGGAAGACTGCTTCCCTGTGCGGTGAGAGGAAGCGCAGCCCTCCCTCCACACAAGGAAGCTCTTTTCCACAGCTGGGAGGAGACCCTGCGATGCTTCCCGCCATGCAGGGAAACACTCTTCCACGGCCTGAGCAGACCGTGCCCAATTGGCTAAAAGGTGGGGCAGGACACGCCTCTCCCAACAGCTGTGGCTCAGGTGCTGGGTAGTGCAGGTATATTATTAGCCTCAGGTTAAACAAGTCCCTGTTTCCCTGGTAACCAAACAAGATCTACCTCAGCTTAATTAAGACACCTGGAGGCAATCTAGAATCTGCTAGAACCAGCTGAGATAGTTAAGTTTTGATTGGGACACCTAGAGCCAATCAAGGACCATGTGGAGCTGGTTAAAAGCCTTCCCTGTAGACAGTTTAGTGATGCATCAGGAGTGGTGGGGGAAGAATGTAGAGCCAATCAAGGACCATGTGGAGCTAGTTAAAAGCCTTCCCTTTAGTCAGTTTAGCGGTGCATCAGGAGTGGTGGGGGAAGAATATGCTGCAGGAGAGTAGGAACTGTAGAGATGCTTTCAGGTACTAGGAGGGAACCCTGCAGGTACAGAGGCGAGGGGCAGGGAGAGCCCTTCTAGGGAACCAGCCTCTTTGGGCCCCAGAAATCAGAGGGAGGTAAACCCTGCTAGAGGGGGGAGAGGCTAGGTTAAGAAATCCAGTTTATTGCCTCCACATCTAGAGAGACTACTAGAGACTTAGGCTATGTCTACATTGCAGTCTTCATTCATTACAAGAGTTCTTGTGCAAAAGGTCTTCCACAAGAGTGTGTCCACACTGCCATGTGCTTTTGTGCAAGAGCATCCATGGCAGTGTGGATGCTCTCTTGCGCAAGAAAACTTTGATGGCCATTTTAGCCATAGGGGTTTCTTGTGCAAGAAAATCATGTTGCCTGTCTACACTGCCTTCTTGTGGAAGAGCTGTTGCGCAAGAGTGCTTATTCCTCGTGGGGAAAGGAATAAGTCTTCTGGAAGAAGCCCTGTTTTCTGATGCTGTGCTGTACATTTACTTGTGCAAGAATGCACGTGCAATGTAGACACCTGGCAAGTTTTTGCACAAGAACAGCTGTGTAGATGTAGCCTAAGAAATTTCCTCCCTCCCTTTCCCTGCTGCTATGCCAATGGTGAGAGTGGCTAAATCGGTCTACAGTTTGCCCCTGAAGTAAAGGGGTTAGATTGAGAGCTGTAGTGAGCTACTGAATGAGCAATCAGACTGGGAGTTGCTGTTTTGGGGGAGAGAAAATACTTAGCCTACTGCTGCCCAGGAGTGCAGGATCTCCTGTGTGAAATTTGAAGTGTCATCACCAAAGTAGTGCATGTTGGAAAACGCAATCTCAGCTATACCTACAAAATGATAGGGTCGAATGTAGCTGCCACTAAGAGTTCTTGGAGCCGTTGTGGATAGTCATCTGAAAACATCTGCTCAGTGGGAAGTGGCAGTTCCAAAAGCTAGCGGAATATTAGAAACAATCAGGAAAAAGGGATAGATAATAAGACAGAAAACATCACAATGCCACTGTGTAAGCCAGTGGTATGCCCGCACCTTAAATACTGAGATTTGGTCATCCCAGCTCAAAAAAGATATATTAAAATTGAAAAAATATGGAAAAGGGCAACAAAAATTATTAAGAGATGGAACATATGAGGAGAGGTTAAGAACACTGCGACTGTCCAGCTTAGAAGAAGAGATAACTAAGGGGGAGATATGGCAAAAGTCTAAAAAAAATCCCACACACCTAAAACCCATGACTGGTGTGGAGAAAGTGACTAGGGAAGTGCTAGTCACCTCTTCACATAACACTAGAGCAAGAATTACTCAGTTAAATTAATAGGCAGCCGGTTCACAGCAAACAGAAGGAAATACTTCTTCACACAGCACATGGTGAACCTGTGGAACTCCTTGCTAGAGGATGTTGGGGAGGCCAAAAGTATAGTTGGGTTCAAAAAAGAGCTAGATCAGTTCATAGAGGTCCATCGATGGTTATTAGCCAACATGGCCAGGGACACAACCCCATGCTACAGGGTCCCTAACCTCAAATCGCCAGGAGCTGGAACAGAACAACACAGATGGATCACTTAGAATCATAGAACTGGAAGAGACCTCAGAAGGTCATCAAGTCCAGCCCCTCCCCCCCACTCTAGGCAGGACCAATTCCAACTAAATCAACCCAGCCAGAGCTTTGTCAAGCCGAGACTTAAAAACCTCGGCTA